TACAAATCCAACGTCCAAAGGAATATCATCCAAATTCCATCCATCCGATCAGCGGAGGCACTTGACAACGCAGTAGAGGAGCTGGAGAATGCTGTCCTGCGAGCGCACGAGGACAGCATTCAGTTTGGCACGATGGACTCATCGCCAAAATGGAAGCCGCCGGAATCGATGCAAACATGTGCCAACTGATCCAGAGCTATCTAACACAAAGATGGTTCACGGTGAAGATTGGTACATGCCACTCAACAAGACGTCAGCTGGAATCAGGCGTACCCCAGGGGTCAGCCTTAGCCCCCCTGCTCTACAACATCTGCACTCACGACGTACCGAAGACAGCTGACACAATGCTGGCCCTATATGCAGACGACACTGCTATAGCCGCCAAAAATCGACGACCCGAGATCATCCGTAGGAGACTACAGGATGAACTGGACCACATCCAGGACTGGTGCGTGAAATGGAAAATCCGCATCAACGTTCAGAAGACGCAGGCAATCTTCATCAAACGAAGAAGGATTGCAAGACCTCTCGAAGCATCCATTTTCGACGAAGATATCCAGTGGAGCGACAAAGTCAAATATCTGGGGATCGTATTTGACAAGTCCCTCACCTGGAAAGATCACATAGAAGCTGTCATCGCAAAGACCAGAGCAGCCATGGCCCAACTCTACCCATTACTGGGTAGAAAGCTCAGGACCATACGAACGAGCAGCTACGACTCCTCATGGACTACGATCCGGACGAGAGGCCTCGCAACCGCAGAGCCAGGTACCCAAGACTAAAGTCCCAGTTGGCACCCGCTAACTGGAACCTCGACTAGGAGACTAGGAGAACCCGCGGTTGCTAACCTCCCCCCCCCCCCCCCCCACGGCGTGGAAGTAGAGGACGAGGACCAGGACGACCACGACCAGATCCCATCAGGACCAGGAACCACCAGGACCAGGACCCATCAGGACCAGGATCAACCAGGACCAGGACCAGATAACATACAAGTAGTAGAGGACTTGAAACTCTTGATTTTTCGAAAACAAGAGTTACAAGAGAACATAGCAAACCCTATATCGATGCTCGCTTAACGAAATCGATAGAACTGTGCGAGGTAAAGGGAGCCAACCCGGCGTTCCCAGAGACTGAAACACATGAGGAGACGTTGTTAGCAGTCCGCAGGTCACGCACAACACATGGCCTACCGAGACGCTGATGAGTCGGGCCACACGGAGGTTAGGGTTTAGTGGGTATTAGGTGGTCTCCTCAAGTCCCACACACGCCGTAGCTCGGGCTATGGCATGGTGCATAAACGCATTCCCCCCTCACAAAAAAAACTCCTTTACCTATCAAGATACGTTCTTTACCGGCTTTTCTCGGTTCCTTTTGTCCAGTCGAACATACCCTCAAGGCCACTCAATACCTAATACCTAACCTTTTTTAAAAAAGTTAGGTGTCTTGCGTCATTTTACTTTTCTGTTGAGGTTTTGGTTGTGCGTGGGTCGACCGTTTGATTTCAAGGTTCTGGGATTTAGACCCCCAGACACCATATTGTGGAGTAGCATCTTTTATTTGGTACCCTACGTTTAGTTGTTTTGGTTTGTGTGCTAGCCCGTCGATTTTCTTATGGGATTATAACATTCAGTGTGGGAAGGCATTGCGGGGAACCACCACACACTCCTTCAGCTTTGTTTTGTAGCTGCCTTGTAGCTGTGTTGCAGCTGATATTGCCGGAAGCCACTCCTTCCACTTGTGCAAAAAAAACAACCCTGTACGTCCCTATATATTTTAGAGTTATATGTATATGTGTTTAATTATAAAAACAGATTTCCATTAGTAGGTACTATACACGATATAAATATAAGGCAAAAAAAATCATTGCTAGTTCCATTTACTGGATTTAATTCAGTTGCTGTAAAGGGACCAACAATTTCCAATCGTCTACCGGATTATACAGTGTATTCCAAATTCGCTTCTCTATACACAGGGATCTCGGCTCCTGTTATACCTACAGCAAAGGTTGAATGGGGAAAGTTTTAGAGAAAACTTAGTGCTTTCAATAGCCGGCTTCAGATTTCAATTGGTTTTGAAAATATCAGCCAAAAGCTGAAAATGGCGGAATTTGTTTTTGCCAGTGAATCCAAAACGGTTAATCTGACAGCTGTCAAAATATGACATTATCCGGACATTTTTTTAAGTAAAATAATATAGCATATATGACATGTCTCTATCGTCTTTTTTTCCAACAACCCGCCTCAACTTTTATTTTTCTTATACGCCATATTGGATTTTTTATTTTTGAAAATAGTGTTTAATGAGAGAAAATGTACCTACTACTCATTAAAACACAATTTTAGTACATTGGATTATTCAAAGTCACCGCCTCCTTAGATGAAAAAAATGCGTTACCTATTAATTTTATTTTCTGACAAACAAATCATGGACTCAGAAAAAAATTAATACATACCATTGCGTGTGATGATATTTCGATGATACTTCAATCTTTTATGCACTTGTGAGAAATCACTAGGCTAGAGACATTTTACGCTCGTTTCAAAAATCGATTATTCCAATATGGCGGGCCTTAAGAAAAATGAAAGTTGAGACAGGTCGCAGGAAAACAGAAGACGATTGAAACATGTCATACACACTATCTTATTTGCCTTAAAAAAATGTCCGCATAATGTCACATTTTGACAGCTGTCAAATTAATCGTTTCGGACTTACTGGCAAAAAACAAAATTCGACATTTTCGGTTTTTCGCCGGTATTTCCAAAACCAATTGACCGATCGTAAATCTGAAGCCAGCTATCGCCATTCGTTCCTACAATTGTAGGTCGCCTGTATGACCTCCTTGATTTTCATAGCCTTTTCACTCCTTTCAGAAAGGTTGGGGTATTTATACTGTTCCGTGTCACCGTCAGCGCTCTCCTAATTATGTTTTTTTTTTAATTGGAAATTTCAGGCTGATAAAACAGATGATAAAAATCGAAAGGATGAACAATTTGATGCAAATAGAAGAAGGTCAGGAAAAACTATGAAAGTCTAGGAGGCCATCAAGGCGTCCTACCATTGTAAGAACGTCTGACGATACGGCTCAAGACACTCCCCATTTACCTTTGCTGTAGGTATAACAGGAGCCGAGATCCCGGTATAGAGAAGCGAATCTGAGACACACTGTATAAAAGTAAACACCAGTAAGAAATCGTATAAGCAAGAACTCAAAAGTTATCCGTTGGAGAACTGTTTTCATAGTGTGTCAAAGTTTTTGTAGTTTTTTCAGGAGACTTTATTAATCACCTTTATTTTTTAGTCTCAGGATCTATTGTATTGATAATTCATATACAGTATTGTCTGTCTATATAAAATAAACTGCATTGAACAAATATGTTGGCATTTAACCAATAGTGAGGCGGATGATGATGAACAAGGTACAGGCTGATAAAAACAGACCAAGGCACCAACAGTAGGTTTCTAATTGCTAGGTTGTACATATACCAGTACATAGACTCGTTGGTATGTTCGAGGCTGAGAATGACATATTGCAAAGAGATGGCAACTCTGACAAGCTCCACCTACAAATGGTTTGCCAGAGCTTGATCCATCTTCAGTGTTGTGTTTATAAATATCACTTGGTAATATAATACGGTAACAGTAATGGAATGTAGATTGACAGATGAAATTTTACTCTGGAATACTGTGTACCTTTATTTTTAGAATTATCATAGAGCAATGTTATTTCTAATCACGTTTTCTGCAACCATTTCTTATGATAAGAAATGCTATGGATATGAGGTAGTTCACTATATCATGAATATACCTATATTCTAACAAATTTGAAACACTTTTTGATAACACCCTTATTTCTAAGGTTTTGGGCATGTGAAGAAAAGTGTGCCTTTAACATTCCAGAAGGATTTCTTTGTTCTATCTATGAATGCATATGGAACATGTACGTCAAATAATTACGACCGCTGAAGTACACACAGTACTCTCTGTAACAATTCACGAACGCAGCCCAGCCCATAAGCAGAAAATTTCAGAATGTCCCCTATGCCTCTGGTTTATATTGAAAGACAGTTACCGTATCATGAAAAGGACGACCTATCAATCAGCCGGAATACGAGGTATTCTCAAAGTTACCATCAATAGAGTTATATGCAAAACTCATAAATAGATGACTAGATACCTTTGATTTGAAAACTTAGCACAACGTTACCCGCCATGACGAAATGCTCCAAAGATAAACGTAGTGGGATGTTTAACGAACGACTTTGGTGTTCTATTATTGAGTATGCCTCATTTCTAGAGTATCTCACACTTCGGGCAGGAAAGGCCGGCAGGACAAGTCTTTCAAGTTTCTATGCCCCCTGTTAAAAAAATTACAAAAAGGCAAGGGAGCCACAAGTTGACATCTGGTGCGAAACAATACTATTGGAGCTAGTCAAGCCGTCATGCTCGAGAGATTTGAGAGCTCTTCCTATTTTGATGTACACTTCTCCGTCATATTGTTGAGAATTGACCTGAGATGACGCATACGATGTACAGTCAGTCGGGCTCCGGGACTCAATGGGGGCCCATAAAGCGGGGTATGGGGCCCCATGATAAAACTTGTGCTTTTAAAATCATAGAGTTCGTTCCAGCACCCCCCTCACCCTCGCTCTTCAAGTAAACTGGGGTCAATACGGACTTCCTACTTCGGGCCCCAGATATCCTAGATCCGCCACTGGGCAACAGAGCTCTGTGCTCAGAGAACAGAGAACAGTCCAGATTATGGATGTATCCCATTTATTTTGATTGTATACAATACGTATCATACCAATGCTAGTAAATTTGTTTATAAATGCAGGCGCCACATATTTAAAAAGTTATCCGAGACCTAACAAGTTCCAGAAGATAAAACTTTGATAACAGCAAAATTAACAAATTATAATGTTATAAATAAGTCAAAATAACAAATACCTCCGATATGAATAATGATTAATGTCCATTGATTTCGTCAGCTGATTGAAAGTTTAACAACACAGTATATCGCAAGACCCAGCCTCTCGTGCTTGATATTGAGCCGTATTCATAAAAGAGAAGCATAATCTCGGAAGCATAAGGTAAAGGTATAAGGTTTTGCTTCGGAGAAAAAGGTAGAAGTATAAGCATATCCTTGTTTTCATATTCATAATGATTACCTTATACTCGCGAGGATATCCTCCAAGAAGAAGTAAAGGGTTGTCTGGTATTTGTATCATGAGCGACATGTCCTGACTTGTTCCAGCTTGTGGTTGACGTTGGAGTTCGTTCACCTGACAGTTGTACTCCAGACAGTTCCGTATTTTTACTGGATACAGTCTTTTATCAAATTAATAAGCATGTCATCCTCAAATGATGAGGAAACTATAGAAAATAATGGCAACGACCTGCAGTTCATCGCAGATGAAATTGCCATTGCCCCCATTATTTTGCAAAAGTCACAAGTTCCAAAAATAAAAATGAGAAAGGACGATGCCTTGAAGAATATGTTGAAAAAATACGAATCAACATTCGGTAAACCATTAGATACTAAATGCTTAAAAAAATGAACAACATGAATTCAAGATTGAAGAAAAAAAACAGATCTAAAAAGAACTGGTGATAAAGCAATTAAGTAGTTAGATTAGGAAAGAAGTTGCTAAAAGCTATGGAAGGTGACTGTAATTCTACAATTGGGAAAATTAGAGGTGCCATTCAGGTTGGTAGTGTTCAAGAAGAAGGACGTGAACTATATACCGAGCGCAGTGAACAATCAGTTAGTATTACAGCGCCAGCAATTCAGAAGACGTTGCCACCAAAAAGAAAATTAGCAATAGAGAAATACGAAACTGAGGAAACCAAAGGGGACAAAAGAACTGCAACGTCTAGTGCTATTACAGCAGTACCAAACAAGTATATTACAACAAGAGTATTATAAAGCGAAATTAGAAATGATGCAGCGTCAGAAGCCACCTGTAACTTATGATGTTCACGAAAATAAAACTTATTATAACTTATAAATACACTTTAATCATTAAAACTATTTATTATAACACTCAAGTTTCTTCTTATTTGTTGACCTAGTTGCCGGAGCGGAAGTTTGTCATTCTCATGATTTCCTTCATCTTCATCTGGGTCTTGTTCAACTAACTCAAAGTCAGGATCGTCCAAGCTCTTCGCAACATTATGGAGTACAATAATACAAGCAATACTTATTTTCGGCACATTTTCCAACTTTACGCGGCAAACATACTGTAGGATAGGAAACCGGCATTTCAGTTGGCCGAAACAGCATTCAATTATAACTCTTTCTTGTTTTAAAAGCTTATCATAATTTATTTCTGCACCTGGAGTAGGATTTCTGAAGGCAGTCATAAGGCATGGCTCAATACCATAACCGTCATCGCCAAGTAGTACAACATTTGCTTTATTTATTAGTTGTGATCTAGTCTGTTAATTTCTCCATATTCTGGAATCATGCACTGATCCAGGCCAACTGACATCAACACTTATGAACATCTCTCTGGCATCACCAGTGGCTTGCACATTTAAAGTAGGTTTCCCTTTTCGGTTGATATACTCATCTCCATGGCGATTTGGTTTCAGGATTCCTATATGTGTACAATCAATTACACCAATTGCTGTCGGAAATTTATACATGCTTTGCCATATCCGCTTGGCCTCCATCAGATCATGGTTGGTAGTGTGAATGTGCAACTATGCTGTTCACAACTCTATCCACAGTCCGAGATACCGTTGATTGACTAACACCAAGTTCCTGACCAATACCTTGTTTATATCCAGGGTCTCCGAGATAGCGTAGACATATCTTCATTTTATGATTACATGAAAGTGCTTCTCCTCGAGTTTCCTCATTCTCAACTAAAAATCTGTCCGCAAGCCATTGTACATTTGCTTCGTCGAACCGATATAATTTTTTGAAGTTACGACCAAGTGAAGATAAACAAGGTTAGTACGTTTTAACATCCCTAACATCCACAATTTCCGCCATCATCGTTTGACTACCTTTCGTTACGAAGTTCATCACACTCAGAATTTTTGCCAAGTAGTATAAGGTGAAGATTATGAATATCCTTTTACTTATGTCACTGCTTTGAAGGATATGCTTATACTCAAAAAAGCAAAAGCATTTACTTCAAATTATTATAAATACCATCTGGAGGATTTCCTTCAAAATTGGCAAGTACAAGGATATCATTTATTTTATGAATACGGCTCATTGTTTAAGTTTACTGCACCTCAAAACTGAATTTGGTATATCATTCCAAAAGCGTCATCTTGGGTCGAATTTAAGGTAAAATCTGGTTCGCTTGGAACCCTCGCGTGCCCTAGCATGTGTGTGTAGTCGCTTTTCTCACATAAATGTAAAAGTACAGTACTATATAAATTGTCATTTCCATCTGACATAGTCTGAAGCGAAAGAATCTTTGTGCACTTCGGTGATTTGGAGCGCTGAATACGAATCTGAACGTCAAAAAACAAGTGTCGTGGGGGCGAGTTTTGGGGCAAAACATAGGTCACCTAGAAGTCTTATGTATTTCTTGCCTAGAATATACTGAGTTCCAGCATCATATTGTGACGCCATCTTGTGTCGGCATTATGATCCTCGGTGGGTGCTGAAGGAACCGTCATCGTCGCGCCTTCGCGAGCGCATCTGCTGACAACTAGTCGTTATCTATTGGCGAATTCCAAAATCCATGCGCACCCGGAGGACTACAATCTGAACCTTAGAAAGAGAGTAACGTGAAATCAAATTTGTGTTATTTACCGCGGTTATAACGTGATTTAAAATAACACACGAGTTGATAACGTCAGTTACTCGAATCGCTTGAACGCGTTGGTTTTAACCGAGGTTGTTTATTTTAGAAAAGTGCGTGTATAATTTCTGATTATTTTTATTATTTCTTAATAATCGGTGCTTTTTCTTCTACCACAGAGATATGGAAAATTTTGAAAAAGAAGACCTTTATAATATTAATGGGAGAAATGTTTTTTAGGAGATATTGTTCAGGTGTTAAATCACTTGAGAAAATATCTCTTATTTTTAAACAAGTTTGTCGTCAAAATTTTGAACCATGGCTTTGTAGATGATAACTTTCAATTCTTTAAACTTTTCCGCATGTCAAAGTAAACATTTATTGATTTATTAGGGTATATGTGCATATGATGTAGAAAAAGTTACATAATATGTAGGTACCTAGAATCTATAGGGCCAGTTTTACGTTGTACCTTTTCAATATTCAAGTCGACCAGAAATATCAAGGACAATTGAAGCCTAGCTAGTGAAAAGGTCACATCCGCAATCCATTTTGGTCTATTCAAATTATGATAATGAGGTATCAAAATCTTAATAGAACAGTATTTGCGTGATTGCAAATTGCAAAGCTAAAAACAACCGTAATACTTCAACAATTTGCTGCGAAACAGTGTATGCCGGTACATGTGGTGATACGGAACAATGGAAAGTTTACTCGCATTCGGCCAGGTTTATTGACAAGCATCAGCACGCTCATCGGTAGTGAAATTCGCCAATTCGTTACCACCGGATCTAGAACTTCAAGAAATAACCTCGATTGCGCCCGAACGATAAAGAGCAAACTATAAAATGATTTGGTCAGAGAGAGATGACTCAGAAGCTACAAGCTTAACTTGCTCGGGAAACGCATTTTCATCCAAACCAAAGATAGGCCTATGCAGAAATAAGACACACATATTTATGTCTGAGATTTTTTTTATTGAATAAACCTAACCTATACGGTATTACGAACAGATTGCTACTTACAAAGACATTATTAACATCTAAATATTAATTTCTAAATTTATTTATATATGTATAATCATTTTATTCTATGTTTCGGTACACAGCAAACCGACGGCATTTTAAATGACGTCTGCCCACTTGTATTTTGTTGTCACAAAGGCGTTTCGGAAAAATTGACTTCCGAATGCCAATAATTGCAACCCTTGAATGCTCTAACAAAAATGGGGGTGGCAGATGAGCGCTTTGGGAAATGACTGCTATTGGACATTGCCTTGGCAAGCGGTCTGTCAGGGATATTTTGAGAATTAATTTTTTGAGGAAAAGCTATAATTGAAATACAATTTGAAACTAGATTTATAAGAAACGATAAAAATTGCAATATTGATTTAGAATATAAAAAAGTTTTTCAGCTGAACTTTGGTATGTTTTTGTTTGACTCTTCTGAGCATCGAAAAAAAAAAAATACGAGAGCTATACAGGGTGATTCAGAAAACAGTGGCAATATTATATATTACAATAACATGGGTTCTTGAATGCTTCCTTATCGAGGTACAGGGTGTCAAAGTTATAATTCCGAAATTATAATAATAAATGGCTTTCATTTTTACCTCGGCGAAGTCAGGATGAAGCTTGTCAACTTACATGAGGATCCAGACATACAATAATTCCAAACATGTCACAATAGTCCAAATGTCAATATTTCAATTACACAATAGTCACTCAAATTTATAAACACTTAAAGTCGAAAAAAGTAACAAATGAATCAAAATTTATAAAAGAGTCTGACCAATGTTGAGTATAACTTTGTAGTCAGGTGCTATGAGAAAATTGGATTAAGTTAATTGAGTGAAATTATGTCTTAGGAGTAGATTAAGGTGTTCGACTTTAAACTTTGTTCATGTGGTAACTCTAAGGCCAATACAGAAAAAAATGTTCACGGCTCAGACTGAACCATTGGCGCAGACTGACTTTTTTTAAACATCTTCTGGATTTATAAGTAAGGTATTTCATTTTACATGATCGTCTCTCTTGGGGAACCTATAATATTTCTTAAATACTCGAGAAATCCTTATAAAAAACTTCAATCCTTTCTTCTTTTAAGAGATAATCCATGTCACCGTAGCCTTATTTGAACGGTAATGAGAGATTTTAGGACATATGTTTATAGTATATTTTCGTGTTACTTCGGGACCAAAAGCAGGAATACTGCTACTGTTTCTTGGAACAACCTGTATTATAATACTACATAAGAGAGCTAAGGGGCCGCTCAAGTATTACGTAAGCAGATTTTTTACAATTATTAACCCCCTCCCACTTGTCAGCAAAAGTAAGTCTCTTACTCTCCTCTCATGCTCACGTAAACATTTTGGGATGTTTTACAATTTGGAGCAAGTATTGGCTTTCACGCAATGTTCTGAATAACATTTAATATCTAAAAATGTTTAGAGTAATTGCACCGCCACGTTAATCCAAATGAGACCTAAAACGGTCATAGGGCAATAACAAACAAGCCAGTTCCCAAATATAGCTAAGGTTCTAAGCGAGTAAGCCTATCCATATTTGGGGAATCCCTGCAGATGCGTTTCGGTTTCAAGCTTAGACAAGCACGGTTGCCATATTTGTTCAAATCAAAATCGATTAGATTTTGTAGAAAATCTAATAAAAAAAAATATTGCTGACAATCACCATCTAGAGCCCCCATCTCCCGTGTCATCAAAAATAAGCAAGAGGAAGACAACCCACCCCCTTAAGTGTTCAAGTAATACTTGAATGATCCCTAAGGATTATATACCATTAGGATTTTAGAACATTAGATGCAGATATTTGGAATATCCCAATGACTGGTAAATTACTGTGGATGCAAAAATATCCTGATAAAAATGATCCATAGGGGTGAGATCACACGATCTTGGAGGCCAATACTTTAGATTTTAGAATTCAAAAAATGATATGCTCATGGTCTGTTCACGTTTATTCCATTGAAATGGGGAGCGAAAATGTCACTAATCATTGGTCTAGAGCGCCCTTCATCCATTGTAGCATTTTGAGAAATCTTCCTCCAAGAGTGTGTGATCCTACAGCAATGGATTATTTTAGTGACGGTATGTGCTATCAGTAGTCCACGCCAGTAAAGAGCCAATAGAAGCTTCAGAAGCTATTTTTCGTCGTATTATTACAAATATACACCCCAAATATTCTAGAAGGTAATGGGACAGTTAATTTGGTAAAGGCCATTTTAGTTCCATACCTCTACCCGATATAAAATGTACAATTTGCCCGTGAATGTATATAATGTACATTTTTAATTATACTGATTTATCTTTCTTTGTTGCAGGTAAGCAGACATATTTTTCCCACAATATTCTTATCAAACTGTATGTAACTTGTTCTGAAACCACATTTATTAATAAAATATGATGGTGGAAGCCCTGACTTTTCAAGTATGATCAAAGGTATATATATTGGTATTCAACTTCTGTCACGTTTTTGCCAAATATATGTTCGCAAGTTTTCCAGAAGCTGATCGAAACTGGTCTTTCATATTGCTCTTTTTTGAAATCAGTAAGAGCTTATTTTTAGCTCTCTGATGCAATACAACTATATAGGAATTGCTTTGTTTCATTTCAATTTAAATTTTACTGACATAATACAGATCTCATTTAGTTCATCTAGTAGTCATTGCACATAGCGCCCCAAAGGCACCCTCAAAGACATTTTTACACATTGCACTTATCCAAAAAAGAGAAACTTAAACATACTATCATTGTAAAACCTAAGCAGTCACGTTTTTGAGCTCGACTTCACCTTCGATCGTGTGTCCGGTTTATATGGAATATGGCACGCTAAATCTCTTCTTTGATTCCGGACACAGTTTCGAGATGAACATTTGCTCGATGTGGTTCTGTTTGGAAGAAGAGTTGCTGGCAAGACTATCACTCGATTTTGGGAACCTTTGTATTCGTTTTTTAATATTGTCGCAATATAATCACAACTAAGGCCTTATAGGCTCATGACCCCATAACACTAACGCCCTACAAATCCATATGGTCGAATATTTTATACCAAAGTTCGTTCTTGAAGATCCATCAAACAACGGTTACCTATTCCTATAGCCAGCCACAAATATTTCAGTTCGAGGATGTGTTTTTTTTTTGGCGTAATCTTAGGTGACAGCTCAAGTCTCTATTAAAAATACCTATCTATTAAGGTGTATTGCTTATTCTAAAATGTTGGATAAGCTTCAAGAATCAAGTGTACTGAGTGGGCCATTAAAATTTTCTAACAAACGTGGCCAATAGAAATTGCTGGAAATTATTTTACAATATTCATAATTTAAATATATCTAAAATAGCTTCAGACGATAGTATTCGTGTTTTGCGATACTTTTATTAGTATTATTTTTTTGCAAATGGATTTGTTTTGGCGGAAGGGTTCAAGGTAACTTCAAACAAAACTTGCTTAGCTTCTGATTGGCTTTATCCATCTGCATGGTCTTGTTCTCATTTAAAAGAGTTTATTGTGCGTTTCTAAAAGTGGTAAAGTTTCTAAGTTTAGTTCTTTTTCCATCCTACACATTTATTAGACGAAAAAGATAGTTTCACAGTTTTGGGTTCAAATTATGCTTTCTACCGGCAATGGTTAAAGCGTGAAAACGACTTCTAAGACATAATCTATCAAAATGAATTTTAATAATCCATTTGATAAAAAATGTTATTGCTTCAACTCTCTGCTTAGTCCAGCAAACCTTGAACATTTTAAATAGGTTCTATATTATTTACTCATAACTTTATAATGTCGATAACGAAATAAAGTTTTTCATGCACTTTCCGAATATTACCATTGTATTTAAGATTTCGAAGAAACTAGAAAAATGACGATTTTGACATTGAGTGCCACTTAAGGGATGAAAAAAGAGCTAATCTGGCAAAAATGAACCGCTGTTAATAGAAATGCACAATTAAGTCATTTTAAGTGATGCCAAGACCATTAATTAATAACAGATCTTGGAAAAAATGAATGAAGCTATTTAGATGTATGATGCATGTTTGCCAAAAAAACATTTGTTGAAAATAATTTTCAGCAATTTCTATTAGCCACTTTTATTATAAAATTTTCTAAACGATGTTGCCGAGATAAAGCCGGCGTCGTTTATTAATGGCGCACCCAGTAGCTACTAAGGTAGAAGTGTCTTTTATATATCCTTAAACAGCTTGACCCTCAAATGTTTCTTTGGCGACAACCAACTTAATGCTGACAAAAACACACTTTACCATTGTCAACAGGCATTTTTTGGTTGGGATATCAAAGTTATGCCGAAAAACCTACATTATTCGTCTTTCTGTAAAAAAAAAGTTGATGTATATATATATTAATAACGTACATGAACCAGTTCAACGGTATAGAGTAGACCTGAGCCTGCCAAGAAAAGCCGCCACTCAGTGTGGTACCTCCTCATTAAGCGAGACCGTCAGCAAGACGCTGCTTGTTCATTTATATAAACTAACAAAAGCAGGACCTTGCTCCATTTTACCCATTAAATTTGAACTTTTTTAAAGTTTTATTTGACAGTTTAAAGTAGAAACTGCATTCAAGGATAACCTGAAAAAGTCGGTTGTTACTTGTGATAGGCAGAGCACAATCCTCAAGAAAAAATGCCCTATTATGTGAAGTGTCAATTTCAAAAAAAATGTATGCAATGCAGGAACATAGATTGTATAGAAGGGGGTGCTACAAAATGCAAAAACTCTTTCAAGTCTGACACTTGACATAGCGGAGCATTTCATTTCAACGGTTGTCACTCATGCCTGACATAATTTTCAGTCTATCCTTGAGCGCAGTTGATCTGTTCTTGAGGTTGAGCCGGGCAAACGTTTACATGGTTTTGGGGTTTTTCTCTGGAGCATCCACACAATCATTGATTTAATGCGTGAAAACTGTTTATGTAAAATACCACAAATTTTCTTATAATCTGAACATGGTAACCGATTCTGGCAGGGTAGTGCAGTTAAAATTTATTAAATGAATCTGGTAGCCACGAATTTTTCAATATAAGCTTGTCAAGGTTTAGTCAAAATAATTAGAATTGTTTGTACCTAATAAATTTTGGCAGTGAAACTATACAAGATTCGAGGATCCATCAAAATTTACAATTGCAACTATTATAGAGAAAAAAATACATAATTGAACTTAAGGAGGCGATTTCGGGTCCATTGTGGAAAGAAACGTATGTCCTAAGAGTCTTAACTTTTGAGATACAGGGTGGTATAGTTTTAAAAAATTAATGATTCATTATTAATAGCTGTAAATATCACTTCGTCTATTTTGATCAAATTTTGCATAGATGTACTATATATAAAGAGGCATTTTATATGTGCTTATTCTTTAGTTATTTCCATCAGTGGCCTTCGTACGGAATTTCACTTGGCAGTTTTTGTAAATATTGAGAATACGTCACTCATAACTCTTAAAATAATAATCATTTTTGCAATTACCAATCTTTTCTAAGCAAATTCGGTTGTTTGATTATAACAATGCTCTTAAAAAATAAAAACCGTTCCTCTGTATAATCATAACAATACCGTTAATATGACAATATCACCACGCATAAACAGCTTTAATTTTTTAGTGTGCGTCGGACTAAAAAATTCAATCAAATCTGCTCATAAATGAACACGGATTTCAATTTTGTTTAAGACAGGTCAGTGGCATGCACTACAGGGTGTCCCAACCGATTGGTATAACGTATTAAATTTATTGGTTTGGTTGGAGTAATGAATTTTGTGTCAAGAATATTTTATACCTTTGTCATCCATTTTTCAAGTTTTTTTAATTATATCTATTTTCATGAGGTTTTCCTTAATATATAGTTATTTCCACATTGTTCGGTTTCTGCGTTATAGCTATTTGTTTCAATATTATCAAAAAGAAGTCACATCATCCATGGAAACATAAAACAGGTAATATGTCTATAAAAATAGGCTTTCGTCAAGAGACCAAGTAATTCAATGCCTTTTTGTTATAACTCTTTATTACAGATTGTTATGATGATATATCATTAATTTTTTGAGATGTCTGAAAATGACACACCTACAAGTAAGCATAACTAAAATTTGAATTATTTTACTTAACTACAGAAAATGTTCAAAAATGTTGATGTTCAACACACAATCAGAAACTTCGAATTTAGAGGATATGTAGCAGAGAATACAAGAAGCGTTTCTAAATATCAGTGACACACGCTAGAAAGTGTGAAACAAACAGTCGATCGAAAACTTCGATTGCGTGATCAACATCAAGAGGTCTTTTTTGAACAATGTTACTTATGGGCGTCATTTTCAGACATCTTAAAACATTAACTTTACACTACAATATGAATTTGTAATAATGAATAATTACAAGACAAAAACACTTGTTTTCTTGATGAAAGCCTGATTTATTGACAGATTATCATCTACTTGTTTTTTGTTTCCATGGATGATGTGAGTTGCTTGAATAGAGAAATATCCAATTTTTTTAAACAAATAGCTGTAATGCAGAAACTGTTTGAACAAATTGGCAACAACCTCATATTAAAGAAAGCTCGAGAAAATGGGGAATCGGTGATGAAAAAATATACATTTATTTTTTTGCGAAGTAGATTTTGCGTGCTTGACTACTCTGTATTGATCATTCATAAAATTCTAAAAATATCATCAATTAGCTCAACAACTAATTATCAAAAACCATAAGTATATCAATATCCTACTTTTGCAAAGGTCTATCCGAATATCTAATAAAAAGGGTGGCATGACATTTAAAAAAATCAATTTTGTTAATTGGGACACCCTCTATAATTGAGAATATTTTGCGTATATGCCCCCAGAGGCCATACATAATGGATAAATAGTTTTCTTTGAATAGTTTTTGTTGAGGAACAACACTTCATCCTGGCACGGTTGGGACACACTGTATATTGAAAACTTTACCACTCTGTATCTCACGTTTAGAACATACATTCATATGAAGTTTTATTCTTAAAATGGACCTAAAAAACACCCTTTAAATATGGTCGGTTAATTAGGAAACACCTTGTAAAGTTAAAAAAAAAGTAAGATATTAAAGATCATGAATCTATAGATTCTGTTGTATGATCACTCATAGGACGTAATAAAAAAAATACAAAACTTCCTTCATACGAGTACGTTTTTGTGACTTTTTTAAGGAAAGATCTTAAAAAACTGACGCACCTTCATATCGAGAAATCGCGTTGCCAACAACAACAAAAACACATTTAAATGCGTACTCCTGAGGGGGAAGCCAAAAGTAATGTTTATATTAAATAGTATAAAATATCACATGTCTCATTTTCATAGTAAATAAAATGTAGAACACCAACGTTCTCGGTTGGCTAGTAGCTTATGCACTGGTTTTTGCAAAATTGCCCACAATGTAAGAAAAACGGTACAATTACAGACTAAACAGTGAATATCATAAAGATATAGTCTAGTTAATATGTTCAGATCTTATTCAATCCATGTCAAAACAAATATCAGTGCGCTATGTTCAAATTCGCACGCTTCTATTGGTCAACGACCCATGAATGTCCGAGCATGCAGCGGCAAGCGAATACAAGCGGCGATCATGTGGCCAAGTTTGTTTTGACGCGGAATAATTGACGTCTGAACTAACTTTAGGTTAAAAATTTGGATGCTGGATGAGTTTGAAATAAATATTTTTCTGATCTAAAATGCATTTATGCGTAGATTTATTCCTGATGTTTGGTTTAGCGAAACGGCTGTCTGCAAGGAATACATCTTAAATCAGGATAATTATTTTTCAATACTCCAGAAGGTTGTCAGAATGTGTCTAAATTTAAAAATTGAGCAACAATAAATTGTAAATGGATACTAGAAATCACACTTGTTAATCATATCCAAGGACACGTGAATTATTCGAAGCACAGTCTGATATTTGACCTAATCATCAAACATTCAACTTTAAGGGTTTGCTGCCATTTTTGACAAATTTTCAATCTGTCTTTGAATGCAGTTTACAAAACGAGTTTATGGAATGACTATTATGAAAAAAAACGACTAAAATATGGGGTATAATTTTATAAGGATTATATTTTTTATACGTTTTCCATACACACCAGAAAAATCAGGCCATAAGCTACTATCCAGAATAAATGAATGTTGTGAATTTGACAAAAATCAGTATCGAATTTTTGATTCAATATATACACAGCAGAAAAAAACTAAAACATAAATTTCGCTGTTAAATCTATACAAAAAAGTAAACAAAAAGATTTGTCAGATATTGCAAAAGAATATTGCATGTATGTACCTAGAAAACAATTTAAAAAAAAAACAAATTGAGATATTCGAAAGTATAAAAAATGCTCACTCACCGTATAACAAATAAAATTTGAAATGTTATAAAAATTAAAAAGTTTACATATAGCATCTTATATAGTTTTTCTCATATGTACAAAGTAATTACACCCTTAGAATAATATACACTATTATCTTCAAATCTGGTATGAAATTAAGAACGAAATTGTTTAATGTCAGTTTATAGGTGATGATTTCTTGAGTAAAGGATATCATTCATATCTCAACCTTTGTCCCGCAAAATAACCAGTCTTAAACAAAATCAATAAAGTCACCAAAATAATCAATAATAAAAAGTATTCGGTTCTTTTCTAATGTTTTCAAATATAAAAATCAACTTTTCGATTCTAGAGTTACCTAGAGGTCCATGGTCGCGATATGAAAAATACTCATAACGCACGAACAGAGAAAAATATTTCTATAAAAATTCATTATACATACGATCAGTTGGTAAAACTGACATTAGAAAATGTGGCACAAGGAACGACAAAATGACATTTAGGGTGTTTCAAACCACGCCGCACCGATGTGATGTGGGAGGTAACTAAATTGTTTGATTAGGCTTCAAAATATTGAAGTACTGTAAAAAGATTTATTTTCCAAAAATGCATATTCGGCACGGAAGCCAAAATGTATTATTGATTTTCTTAGCTTTCTACTCGCCGTTTAGTTTAACCCATTACGTTTTTTTTATATTATTTGTCGTAATTTAAAACACTCCGTTATGTTACAGTTCATTTGACTGGTGCGACTACATGTGAAAGTAAAACGAAACTTAAAGAAATATGTATAGTTCGAATGGCAAGTATTTGTACTTTGTTCCATTATTGTGGACTCGATTGAGTTGAAAAAATAAAAGATAGTTTTGTTTTAAGTACGGTTATAAATAGTCACACCAACTAAATGTAGAAACCAAAAAATATTTGAACGAAATGAAACAATAAAATTGTGTTTTTCCAAAAAAATATAAATAACAAAAATAAAAAAATAAAAACTAAATGTCCTACGTAATATCAATTGTCTTGTAGCGTATATATCTCTACAAAAATCACAATTTTATCCTTTCTCATCGACAATCATACCTTTTAATTTCCATTCTTCATATAAATAACTACAAAATATAAAATCGGATATTTAAAATATATATTCATTTATTTTATGAATCGACGATTTTTTCTTCATATCATAGGCACTTGGTTTGGTCTCTCTTCAGTCGCTGCATGTGGCATGATTCATCATTTTTTTATATATATTGATATTTTACTTTTGATTTGGGCGGTAGAGAGAAATATTGAAACTAAAGTCTTATACAAACCTAGCGAGATATGCTTTGAGGTGAATAGAAGTTATATAATGACGCTTTAAGGTAAATTAACTATTTCAAGTAGTCCAAAAATAATATGTGCGCATTCTCACAAAATTCAACTTCAGCAACGTGGCAAAATTGCATCATCGAACAGGAAACGATCCATGACATAAATATCGGTCCAGCGGATAAAACATTGGAAGTTAGTCAAAATGTAAGTTCAATATATAAAATTATTTGTCAATTCGATCCGGTGCATAAAATCCTGGTCAGTACTTGTAGCATGACTTGTTTTCTGTAAAAAGCATATTGTTGCCACGAAGCAACGTGGAGGACATCGATGTGAGCTTAGTTTTAAGTACGTTATTCGTTCTAACGTTTCGTTATGCTAAACATTTTGGTTTTAATACTAGATATTAACTTAATCAACACTGCTGTGCGAGTTTCAGTAATTCAAATACAAAATGAACGAATTATCAGCAATCGATTTGTGTAATTCTTCATTTGATTTAAATTCCTGTAACCAGCACAATAGTACTGACATCTATTTTGGGTTAGTGTTAATTCTTTCAGACTTCCATTATTGTTCTCAAAATTATGAAAAAATATCTCGAATCACAATATCCAAAAAATATCTTTATATCTTATCTCCCTTACTGAAACAGCAACTACCCGGTCAGATCGGTTTAGAATTATATCTTAAATTCGTTATCGTCAGCGCTTCAAATGGAAATCCGTGTCTTTGACCAGCACCATCTTCTTCAAGTGTGTGACGAAATTTTGTATCTCGAAAAATAGTTGCATTTTTGATATTAGCAAATGAGTGCTAGATAGAATTTTAAGTACACAAAAGAGTTCTGCAAATGTGTATACCTGACGTCTTCAATATCTTCCTTAGTTAACAAATAACAATGCATCGTTTAAAAAATGAATGTTAGAATTTTCAAGTCAAATCTCATAATCTTTCGACGATATGTAGCCATTTTTGAATAGAAGTTGTTGTGTGAACAATCCAGTTTTTGTCAAAAATATTTTTCTATATAGAGAACGTTTACTTGCTGCAACACTTAGGAGCTGTCCAGATCCTCGCTTGATAGTATGGCCAATTTTTACACCTGCGCGCAGGTCTGCAAGGATGACACATTGCTTTTAAGCAGTGCAGCAAGTTAATAGTTAGACTTGTGGTAAAGATAAAACAAAAATGGAGGGATTGCGTACTACATTTTTTCTTCAAACGTTTTGCTTATAGCACTGAAAGAAGGTGAAATATTCGTCTACAAGAAATATCAAACCCCGTTTCTTACACAAATAGTTATTATTTGGGAACCATGAAATATCCATCCATAGCACTTATTTTTGTACTTAAATATGTTGTCCGTCACTTTCTGGATCAAATCAAAGACGCGACTACACGTCGTGATGAAAGATTTCTTCTCTTAATTGAACAAGATATGTTTGGGCGAAAACTCTTGCTTAAGCTTGAGCCCAACGGAAACAAAATGTTTTTTTACGCAATGATTTACGTATATATTCTTGATTCATTGCTGCTAGGAACGATTTCTCATGAGAAGCTATAACGAAAGGAAGTAATAAGGCTACAGTGCTAGCCCAGGCATAGGCCAATCTTCTAAGTCTGACATCGGAGAATATGTGCACAACAAAGAAAAAAATTGTTCTGATGGCGGCGAGTTTGGATTTAACAGCTGGCAATGACGACATCGCTACTGAGAGCATCATCTGAACTGATCAATATAGGCCCACTTGGGAGAATTTTCCCAATAAAATTCTGATGGCTCACGAAATAGAAAAGCCCGAAAATGCAGATTTTTATTTCTTGACTCCCAAAAAATTGTACAGTAAGTAGCAAGTGTTATGATTGCTCGGTGCAATGTGAAGACGAATTTAATCTGTATAATTTGTTTTCCTCTATCGAAAACATGCCACATCTGTCGACCACGAAAATCCCCAAACCACGCGCCCTTGGTACGTACAACAACGAAGAAAAAATGTCGACATACTAACATATTATCCGACCCTACGACGAGGTGATTTTGGCAAATGACATTTATGTTACATAGTATGGGCGCCTCCCTGATTGTGTTGCGGGAAGCGCTGTCCGACAGCGACGACAACGAAGTGGAGATCAACTTGGGGGCGGTCAGAGGTAGTGAGGGCTACGTGACGCTGATGATCGACCTAGCCGCCGCCTCCTTACCGCCCCCTTGGTCTTGGGGCTCGCTCCTGACGCACTGACCCGTCAGCTGATTCACGCTTAAGGGGTTGTTCACGTCATGGGGGTTGGTGCCCACCGGGTTGCGGTTCGCGGCAACCACAGCGGCGGCCGTTACCGCGGAACTGACCACGGGTGGGGGGCCGCAGTGCGACGTCACCTGCAAATAAGTATACAAATTAATGAAGTCATGTGATAGTTTATTTATTAGTTTTTTATAGGATGAAAAGTTTTTCGGTGTGTGAAGTATTTCATGGAAAGTTATAGTTATGTCGAATGTTTCTCTATTCCGGCGTCCGAAAGGGGATCTGAGAAATACAAGCGCCATCTATGAGACAGTAGCAGAACACAAAAATCAGACTTTTGATTCCGCTACTGCCTATGTCTATTTTAATTGGGGATCTTCACGTGGATGGAATACGCTAATAAGTGTCTGAAGATCGAAATAAATATTTATATTATATTTATATTTGAAAGGCGTCGAAAACGAATTCAAGATCATAGCGCTATAGAAGGTGTTAATCAAGTATGTACCATAAATTTAATAGCCGATTCTTTGAGTAATTTTAAGACAAAAAGTTCATAAAACATAGGTCCGCAAATTATTTGTTCTCAATATACAGGGTGTTAAAATTGAAACAAAAAAATGGTTTCTAAAATATCCCTTACCTAATTTTGTTGTAATTTGGCGCTGGTATTTATAACATTAAGGAGCTAATTTAGCCCTAACTGATTAAATTTATTAAGTGCAGTCCGAATATTTGTGGCAAAAAAATGTATGCCTCTGATTTTTGTGCAATTTTTATTAAGTTCTCTGGATAAACAAATAGAAATACAACTTTTTTGTCTCTCAATTTTTTTTTGTATCTTGCTTGGTTTTCGTGAAAAAAAGTCCACTTAATTCAAGGAATATGGGGAACATATTTCTTAGTTTAGTTAAATTCATTAGATTAGATGTTAATGTAATGTAATGTGATTTAGTGTGTATTTGTTGTTGTTACATAATTAGTAGCAAAAAATTGAACAAAAAGTAATTTCCAAAAGACAATTTTTCCCATATTCCTTGTGTGGTCCAGGAAAATGCAATTAAGTTGACCTATTTGTCTAGAAAACCAAGCAAGACACGAAAAAAATTCTAAAAACAAAAAAGTTCTATTTCTATTTGCCCAATCCAAAGAGCATAATAAAAATTGCATAAAAGTCAGTAGCGTACATTTTTTGCTACAAATATTCGGACTCGACTTTAATCAAATTAGCTAAATTAGCTTCTTAATATTATAAATACCACCACCAAATTACAACAAAATTAGGTAAATGATATTTGAGAAACTTACGAATAACCGTTTTTCTATTTTAACAAGAATTTGAGGAAATACATATGTTTATATGAACTGTTTGTCTTAAAATTACTCAAAGAATCGCCTGTTAAATTTATGGTACATACTTGTATATGCGTAAAAAACTAAACGCCCTAGCTACCTACTTTCAAAGATGATTCATTTTTGTGATCTACTACTCTCTGATAGATGGCGCTAGAACCTTTCATAATCTTTTTTAGACGCCAGAACACATCATATGGATAGTTATCTTCAGGTAGAATACATTTACCTATGGTAATGTGTAGTGAAAGCCCGAAAGAGCTATTCTAGGTTCGACTCGTGGAAAAAAATAATCTAGACCCTAATATGCCTTCATAAAATATGATACAGGATGTTGTGGTTATTTTTCTATAGCTCGAACTGTTCTTGTGACATCAACATCGAGACTTTATTTTTGGAATTAGGCTGCGATTTATACGCCTCTTTACGATTTTTTTTAGGTTATGTATCAGTGTCATACGAAATAAATATAAACATAGACTGTACCATGAGTAGACCCCAACTGAATACTGCGAAAGTCGATCTTTAAAGCAGAGTTGGTACTTACTCTTGCACACGTAAGAGGGTTAATATAGGTTGTATTCGTTCCCATTCTGATAATATTCCAATGAACTCATCACAAACTGTGGTCATTGTCTACTAGTTGTATTTTCAGGCATTGCGATATTCATAACTCAAATCGCACGCCCATCATAAGCGAGATGTCATACTGACAGTGACAAGCATAGCTGTAGAACACCATCGAGATAGTTTCTAGAGTTGCGTCACCAGAGTCTCTTCTGGTTATATAAAAACAAATATTGAAAACAAACCAAATGTGGTCAGAAAATCCCAATTAATGTATGCAAAACTACGAATTGATAAAAACAACCACCGTAATGTACACTCATTAGTGGACATTAGGTTACAAACCATTTGTGATATGTATTTACTTTTCCCTGGAGATCCGGACAAACTGATCAGTTACATCCTTTGTTTTTGTTATCCATGTTCTGAATAGCTACAACTAAGAATTATTAATTTTTGAATCCGGATAAGTCATTTCAGGTTAAGAAGTCCACCCTGCCCGGCTCCCCTATTATGTAAAATAATCACCATGACAACGATATGATATGGAGAAATCGCACAACGGCCATTTTGTCCTTAAAATGCTGCAACCCACATTTCATGACAATGGCTTGTAGGATGTAAGTTTTCAAGAAAGTCTAGAGTATAACAAGATGTGATGGAGAAAATATGGTTGAGCATTAAGATCGTATCTGGATACTTGTGTGTATGAAGGATGTCTTTTAAGTTTTGCATATATGGAAATAAAACAACACGGTAAGTAGTTTTAAATGACTTTATTGTTTTTCGAAGTATTCTCCACGAAGATTAATACACATTTGCATGCGCTCGAACCAATTTTCGAAGCACTTATTCCACTCGTTTGCTGGCAGATCCAAAACGGCATTTTTGAATGCGTCAACTGCTTCTTCTGGTGACTGGTACCTCAGACCACGCTGTCTGTTTTTAATTTTCGGGAAAGTAAAGAAATCGTTAGGACTTAGATCGGGACGGGAACGGTCAAGCGTTTTTTTACACCAATTAACCCTGGCTGCTTTCTGCTCTTCAGTCAACAGGTGGGGATCCAACGAGAAACTAATTTTCTTACTCCTAATTCTTCATGTAATTTTTTTTAATTGAGGTCTTTGAGATCTTCAAGCACGCCTCAATCTCGCGATATGTCACATGTCTATCTTCAATGATGAGTTTGCGCACAGCATCGACGTATTCTTGGGTGACTGCCGTTTTTGGTGCACCCCCCTGGGATCGTCGCTAAGACTCACCCGTCCACGTTTTAATTCTCCATACCAACGGGAAATTGTCGACTGGTGTGGCGCTTCGTTGCCGAAAATAGACAGTAACTCAGCAAGGCACTCTTGTTGCGATAATTGCCTCTGAAAGTTGTAATAAATTATGGCGCGAAAATGTTCTCGTTTGAGTTCCATTTTTCTAATGACTTGGTGACACTTAAAAATTCACTGAAGTGAAAACACTGCACGTATTGTTGTGAAACTTTGAATTTAAGTTTACTAAAGAGTGAGGTTAAGATTCAGTACTGACGTTCGATCCGCGCGGCCTACTATGTTTCTATATGCAAAACTTAAAATACATCAATCGTATTGGTCTGCATGTATATACATAGAATCAGTACTAATTGATCATTGATACCTGTGTATGTTTCCTCTCCATAAATATAGATGTCGAAACGTAGTAACGTAAAAAATGTTAGTCAGTATGTCAGTTGTTACCATTGTTAGATTTTGCGGTTATAACCACATGACGAATACAAGACAGTTAACAACCGCTGACATTTATGGCTTTCCACATATCAAATGCCGTTCATTTTTCACCTGTCACAATAAATTTCAGCATAATGATAAAAGGTAGATTCGCAATTAATTTCTAGCTGTGCACAGATAATGGTCTCAAGCCAGTGTATTTGAGACAAGGACCAATGATTATTTATTGGTAGACTGGAAATAAGAAATTCGGAAGGAAACATCACTGAGCACTGTGATGTTTTCTTCCGGCTATAATATAAAACTCACAGCTTAGATCGTAGAAGCTATGAATGACCTCCGCTAGTGCCATCTCTGAAGCAGATGTTACATCACATCATAGCTACAGCTCAAGTATCCTTACAATTGGGCAACACACAGCTACTACAATGAAATATGAAATGATAATTATGACGATCAAATCGGTATCTCTGCCATTTGGTAATTACGTAATAAGGGTGCGGGTTTCCTGTTCAGAAAAATATCAAACAGTACCAAAACAATACTAACCACAGAATGCGGCGGAGGTGGCAACGGCAGCTTAACGTCAAATGCAGACTCATGTGGGGTGAGTGGGCTTTGCAGCATGTACGGACTAGCCACGCTGACTGACGGACTGGCGGCACTCGTGCTGGGACTGGGCAGCACGATACCACCAGGACTAGTCAAACTGCTCAATGGCGACGACATCGACTGATTGTTGAGACTCTCCGTGTCGTCGTCAGGTGGCGTGTGCGCCTCTTCGCCCATGCTGCCGCAGCTGCCTAAGTTATCGTCCGACTGGTTACCGCTGTCGCCTGGTTCCAGGTAGCGTATGCACTTCTTCTTTCGTCTGGAACGTGACACGTGATAGATGAGAGGGTGTAAGGGAAAGGGGGGTCACAGCGCATGCGTGGTGTGCCATGCTGGAAGTGGATGTTATTGCGGCCAGGTCAAAATAAAACTCCATGCGACGCTAAAGAACATAGGGATAAAAATTGTGAGTTGTGTGGGTGAACTGGTGTCAAGATTTTGTTGATACAGCTTAAAACGATATGATAGTTGCCAAAATGAACTAAAAGAGATATCATGTCCAATTGGGCTAATCATAAAAATGCGTCTGAACTTCGACATCGCTCGATTAGAATGCTGAAAACTCAAGTCAAAGAGGTCTGCGATCTCATATACGTTATGTAACTTTGTTAACGTATCGATTTAAGGTTGAAAATATGTAACTGGATAATTTTTAGAGCCAAGCATTTAGAACTACCTGGTAGGTTTGACAATATGAACTCAACCAACTTTCGCTGTGGTGGTTGGCGCTTGGCATTTATCGAAACCGTATCAGTAACCGATTGACGACTGACTAGCATTTTACATTTTTGCTGCAACAAAATGTTGGCACCATGGACTATTCAGCTACCCATGTTCGGTTCAATCTCGATTAATGTTGAATAACAAATATATGTGCGATATAATCATCAGAAATGTAATACTTATTCAAAATTATTGTAAAAATAGAAGAATAGCTGAATAGAGTGTATTCATTTCCAAGCTCGCCAAACTGTATTAGAAAGTTTAAAAATAAAAATAATGAGAAATTGGCAAATGTAAAATGGTTTGCTTGAAGTTGAATATCATTTTCAACCCACTCAATGATAAACAGCATAAACGTCAAAACAAAACAAAAAAATAGATAAGATAATGCACAAAACGGAAAACGAAACAAAAAGAAAACCATCCAAAATGCGAAAACGAAAAAAGACCTAAAAACAACCATCGAAACACCGTAAACGCTTGCGTGGGTATATGGGGTTGTTTAGAGATAAGTATATTCCATATGTGCATGCTGGTAAAACTAATTCAAAGCGACATATTTACTAAGGAATCTTGAAGTCTTAAAGTTGAAAAATAAGTATTTGAGTGTGACTTCAATTGCAATAAGTACCATTATTGGGAAAAAAATAGCATTTACAAGTGTTCTTATGAGATACTTGATATGTTCATGATACGAGAACTGAACAAAACCTGACATGTGAAACTTCAAGAACATTGAAACTTGCCTTCAAAATATGAACGCAATCAAAAGTCCACGTTTTGGAAATATTTGGCAGAAAATTTGATAAATGGTATTGATGATGTATCAGGTATTGATGATCTCTCACGTTACTCAATTTTATATAATAAAATAATTATAGGAAAAACCTAGTCATATCAACCTTACATTATTATAAAGCTCGAAGGAAATCCTGCATAGTTTCTAAAATATTTATATATATATTGGGGAAAGCTGATGGTCATGGTTTCTGTCCAATTAGACCGCTCGGTATCAAGACAGGGTACAGTTTGATTTCGTTAGTAATAAACGTGTGATGTGTGGTAGTGTCACCGACGATTCACGAAAATTTTTGAGTATCGCATAAATACTACCATATGAATGCATACTACAAATATATACCAAATCACATAGAAAATGCAACACCCACTAGGAGTGCTGTAATTTTGAGCATACTTCCAGAAGTTTTAGGTCTACTGATAAATAGAAAGTGATTAAAATTCTAACTCGAAATTTCACAAAATAGCTGAGATATCCCACCTTCACGTTAATAATTTGTTGAGGCTCCTCTGTTTGCTACACATTAGTTAGATTAGGTGATTGGTGTATTGTATCCCGGGCGATCCGAATTTGGTTTCGTAGAGCCTCCAATGTTTGTGGAGGGTGCGGTGAATTTTGCAACATTCTTACATACATGTTAGATGGCGGAAACTTCTGGAGATCGAGGAGGCCAGGAAGCAGATTTACCCCGGATATGGGGGATATGTTTACAAGTTGTCATCAAAATTCAATAAATAATTTTGGGTGTTGCATTTTATGCCTTTTAGTTCGTTTATGACGATTGTTCTAATGCAACAGTATGGCTATAAGCTGTACAAAATAGAACAACAACAAATCCAAACAACCCCAAAACGCACTAATTATTGCGGTGTGTCAGTGTCAGGAAGAGCGTACAAGAAAAACAACAACAAATCAGGTAATAGTACAACTGCTGCTGAGCTTGACATTGTGTGCGTAACTAACCGCTGGCGGATGTCTGCTATAGATTAACGTAGGTTGGTTCCTGCGGCGACTGCGCGGCCACAGCTGCCGCCGCCGCAGCCGCAGCTGCGTGCAGCAGGCCGCCGTGCACGGCGACTGCCGTCGAATTACCGCCTCCGACGCCCAGGCCGCTACCAGGGCCGCCTCCGGTGCTGCCCCCGCCGCTGTTCTCCGGACTAAACAATCGGACAATGTACAAAGGGGGCTCGATGATGATGTAACAATACCAAGGATGTTTGATTAGTACAGTGCGTTCAAATTTTGTGGCGTTTTGGTCTCAATGCTACAAAAATAGAGTAAAAACTATTAACATCGTATGAACTGTGTATTTGAAATTTACGTTTTAGCAACGTGCTAGTAGCATCTTTCATCTGTCAAATCCAGGGCTTGAATCAAAGGAGTGATTGGTATCTTTGTGAATTAAGATATACAATCCTACGATTCAGTTATCAAGCTTTATATTTTTGTTTAAAATCTGTAGATGTTTCAAGTTTTGTTTCGGACTTCCATTGTCTATAGAGTTTGTTAGTTCACAACTTTTCGATTGATAAGTTATCTTCGATCGTCTTCAAGTGAACTAACCAGACAATGGAAGTCCGGAGTAAAACTAAATTTTTAGTATCAAAAAGGATTGAGTATATGAATTTAACGGCAGGGATCCATATTTCACAAAATCGTAGATATATTTTTTGAAGCCAATCCCTCGAAATGTAATAGAATGTTTTATTTTGGGAAAAATTCTTACTATGGTCATTCTCATAAATCAGATATAAATTTGAAAGTAGAGAGACTACAGTATGGTCTTCAACGGTATAAACATTTATATGACCACTGATACCTACCCTACCCTCATTAACTAATATGTATATATAATATACAGGGTGTTCATTTGAAAACTTCTCACCAAAGATTTATCGAAAACCACCGTTAAAATAAAAAACACCGAGACACGTCAAAAGATTTGTCAAGAGGGACAACTTTTTAACCAAAAACTACTTCACCCTCTGCCCCCCAGGGCGCCCCTTTGAAAATTTTTGAATAACAAAAGGTAGCGAGTAACAGCTTGTTTGAAAGGTCTTTCGAAGTTCTTTATTCTGACTTTTGATTTTTTAAAATCTTTATTTATCTTAATTTGTCCAGATAGAAAACAAAAACACGAAAATATTACTTTTTATTTCAATAAGGCCAAACAATGATATAGGCGATGTTCAAATTCCTGACGGACATTTTCAAATACATGTTGTGGGATATCATGGCAGCTTTTGATGATGCGTTGACGAAGTTCATCCAAACTTTCAGATTGGGGAGTAAACCCAATAGATTTCAAATGGCCCCATAGAAAAAATCTAATGGCGTCAAATCAGGAGATGTAGCAGGTCATTCTATAGGCCCTCTTCGCCCTATCCCTTTATTTGGGAACTCGTCGTCTAGCCATTGTCGAGGCGGAAGAATATAGTGACGAGGAGCGCCGTCTTGCTGGAAATATATTTCAGCCTAATCAAGTATAGGGTTTCCATCGTCTTCGATTTGGTTTTCAATGGTTTCAGTCATAAGCGGATTGATGGTATTTTCCAACATATCCAAATAAATGTCTCCATTTAAATTTCCATTAATAAACAATGGCCCAATCACTTTGTTTTCTAAATAGGCTGTCCATAAATTAATTTTTTGGGGGTACTGGATGTAGCCTTCTACAAAAGAATGCGCATTTTCATTGCTCCAATACCTGCAGTTATGCTTATTAACAAGTCGATTTAGATAAAATGTGCATTCATCAGTGAAGCAGATATTCTTTAAATAAATGGTATTATCATTCGCTGCATGATTATCGGTCGGCAGTCATTTTTTCACAAAACTCAACTCGCCTATCGAAATTATCTTCAGTGAACTCTTGCAATATTTTCATTTTGAATGGATGAAATTTATGGAATTTAGTAACTGTGTGTACAGAGACTGATAAAATACCAGTCGCCGCAATAATTTTGCGTAATGAAAGTATTGGGATTTATTCCAAAATGACCCTAAACTTCAACTTGAGCGGTTTCATCCAAAACTCTTCGATTACAACGTTTTTTTATTTGCAACAGATCCAGTTTGAGTAAATTTAATAACAAGGTCCAAAACATACCTAGGCCAAGTTATCTTCCCCAGATGTCTGGCGTTAAACTTGACGGAAGTTTATCGAGCACAATGATTTTGGGCACCATACATTAGAATCATATAACTTTACTACATTAGATAGTGCGTATATATCATTTATATTAATTTTGTAGTGTAGCTTTTTCTATTGTTGTAGTTTTTGATAAGGAAATTAAATGTTAAATGTTATTCGGGGATACACACAAATTTTAAAATTCATCGTATCCTCGTCTAACATTTCTAGAGCCTGTCAATGTAATAATTATTTGAATAAATTATTTGAATTTGAATTTGAATTTCCACTCTTTCGGCTAGTGTGTGAACCACTTTGGAAGTAAAATTTGAATCAATAAATTGATTATCACTATCCCAAGATTGCTACAAAGGTAACCGACAGCAAATTAAATTCTTTCTTAGCAACAAATAACAGGTATAACAATAAATACAGTTCGCCCAAGACATCCGTGTTGATGAAAAGAATGCGGAAAAAATTCGGGTTGTTATTTGGTTGTTGCTGCGCCTAATCTTCCGAAATGTTGTTTATGGTGGTAGTTTCCGTTTTAAATTATAAACGAATTGTAGATTTGGAAAACCCTAACAGGCAACATTTTGTGTGTTCTTGTTTTCTATCTGAACAAATTAAAATAAATAAAGATTTTTCTAGTTTTCCTGAATACGAATCGACTGATTTTCAAAATCAAACGTCAAAATAAAGGATTTCGAAACACCTTTCCAACAAGCAATTACTCGATACCTCTTGTCATTTAAAAATTGTAAGGGAATGACCCTGGGAGGCTGAGGGTCAAAGGGGGTGAAGTAGTTTTTGGTTAAAAAGTTGTCCCCCTTGAAAAATCTTTTGACGTGTCTCGGCGGTTTTTCCTTTAATCAGTGGTTTTCTATAAATCCGTGATGGAAGGTTTTCAAATCAACACCCTGTATAATATATAATATAATCATATAATAATATATCCATGTCCATTCTAACTAAATTAATGAAAAGCGTGCCACTTTGGATCCATAATTAATAGAATGAGATATCGGACAATTACTGGACATCATTCAAACAGCGCATTGATCTTTTTCAGTCAGAGGGGGAGATTTGATTCCTACATGATAGCCGTAGGATTAATACACTTTACAACGAAATGTTTGCTAGTTGAATGGCGATACTGTCAAAAACTGGTGAGCATGTACAGAAGCTTGCCGAAAATCATTGAAGAACGAATTGTTCTGTAAATAGTTCAGGAATTTTCTTAGAATGTTTGTGCTACATATAAGTCTATTATTCTAAATATGTATATACTCCTAATAGGTAGAATACAGCAATGATAGTCCTGCTATTTAAATCAACCAGTCTTAAATATTTTTTTAAGTAAATATACGTTTGAAAAGATACAAAAGAAACTCGGTTGCCACAAAATATGAACGCACTGTACACAACTTTCAACAAATACTCATCATTCACTTAGTTTAAAGATAAAAGAACATCGATAAACATAAAACATTTAGAAGAGACAAAAGATATAAAAGAAAAGTGCAAATAAAATGATCAGAAAATGTGTCTATATCCTTAGTTTTTGCCACCCCTTGCACTTTGACCAAATGTTTTTCTACTCAACAGCAGTGTACAGTGCATAAACTAAGCCAATTTTGTCCTTTTCTCTTTGTGGGAAGACACATTTTCTGATTTCGATCACAAAGAAAAAGAAAAAAATTCTATGTGAAATAGTGTCTCCCGTTTCTCAAAATAAATGGAAATAAATCTTAAAAGTAACAGTCTTTCCACATAGATCAAGAAACACCAAAATAAAATAAAAAAAACCGTGGGTTTTATCGAAACCAGATTCTCTGAAGCTTTGTTCCAAATTCATATACACTACATTATATATGGATACAGACACATTGATTAAATCTACGACACCAAATTACCAGACAATAACTAGACGATCAATGAAAACGGTACAAGTCACATAAAATTTGAAGGCAACATTTATATTGCAACAAATCCGGGCAGGAAAATAGATAAAATATAGGGAACTGGTATAAGATGCTGCGCTATGACTGACAGGAAACTTTTGATAATGGCATTATGCAATGGTAAACTTCATTTATTTTAAGTTATGAAAACATATTTTTGAACACAAATAATAAAAATACATATAAAGCAACATATCTTTAGGACTTCTGTACAAACATTAAATCTAATAATATTTATCAGCGGAACCGCCGTCAAACAATTTCCAACTTTCTACTTTAGGTAAGGAGTATTGATGACAAAACATAAAATGATGTGTAATGCATGAACTTGGAACATTTGCAAAGCGACAAAACAAACTGTATAAATACAGGTTGATTGCAGAAAGATTCCACCCACAAAAAATAAAGAACAAAAGGCGTGCATTGTCTAACTAGAGCATATGATAATAGTTGAAAGCTTACCTGCAAGGTTTACACCATTGGCTTTGCTGGTCTAAACCGTACCTCGCTCTACACTTCTTCATACTATTACCTATACGATACATAAAAAAATCTGTAAGAAGACGTACGTGGCTGAAGAATATGCATTAGTCATGCATTATTATTTTTGAGTGTGTACTGGACGTGTGTGATAAAATACTTAGATATATCTGAAATCATTTCACCGCATCAAGTGAAAAAAATAAAATACTGTAATAACACTTGATCTACATCAAGGAATTTAGCATGACATAAATAAAACAAATATAGGAATACATCTTTTTCAAATGAATTTTATCTTTACAAAGGTGCAGCACAATTTAAGAGGTGTTTTGAGAAATTCGTATTTGGCATTCAGAAATCAAAGGCTAAAACAAAATTAATCTGCCAACATGGCAATACAGGTACAAGTTGTACACTAGAATTTAGGACGCCTTTAGCTATTATTGCATCTCATTGCCTCAAGCAGCTTTACTATTAAGTAAGCTTCAAATAGAGGACGATAACACTTCTGTTGAAGATGTATCTACAAGTAGTATTTGTAGACTTGTCAGATATGGTCCACTCTCTGCAAGAGGTTGTTTGAACTGAAGGACAATAAATGTTTTAGTTTTCCGAATGACCATGGTACTTAAGGTATGGACTAAAGTCAGATGCTTTTTTCACTGTCATACACACACATCCAGTACTAAAATGTATTGATGGATCCAGGATTCTGGAAAATGTGGTAACTGAACATTTTCCAATATTGTAAACAAAAACAGCAATAAGGATAGAAATATACTACATAAAGCGACATGCTATCGTATATATGTCTCGTACACAACAATATATACCGAAACTACTAAGTGAAGGAGCAAAGCCGCTACACTCAAATATGACAAACGCGGTGAGTAGCTTAAGTAGCAGTCATATATAGTCAACGACTTTCCTCCAACACGCATCCATATTTACAAACGTGCATACGACGAATAGAGTTTGGGGTGTACCAGTTCAACCCCCGGCAGAATAGGTCCCGATCGGCCAATCGATATGTATATGTAATTACCCCAAAACATGCAAGATATATAAATAATGTATATGTATATAAAAGTAAATAGATAATATATACGTCTGAATGCAGCAACTTGCTGTCGGGCTATCCGCTGCTCAATCCAAACACTGGTTCTGATGACAAATACTTAACAGAGTTTGGTACGACTAATTAAAAACATATATCAAAATTTAAACAACTGTTAATGCTAAAAACAAATTCGTCATAGTCTGGCATTTCGTTCTTATGTATGTTGAATACGTCGATGATATAAAATTCAGTACATTTATAGTAGCTCCTGAATCCAACAGTACATCGTACATTATATTAGCGTTGTGGGCTTTCTAGTTTTGTGAAGATAGTCAAAGTAGTAGATAGAGCACAGAGCGACAAATATTACACCACAGATAGCTGAATTTCTTACCTTTTTGGCAAGAGGTTCGATTACTATTAAATATTTTTATCGGTATCATGAAAACAGTGTTTGGGTTGAGGTAACCAACGAAACTTTTGTCCAAGCAGTACATGATCAAGTAATCATTGTTTTCAGAGAAACTCAAAGTAACATTATGAGTAAAGTTTGAAATTTTGTAGTCAGTACAAAAGCTGCTCGCTCACATACTGAAGCCAAAGAGATCAGGGAGTAGAGGCGCAGTCATTGTATCGAACTTCCTGTGAGCCACAAACGAACAAGAAAACTACGCGTTCAAGCAGCGCCTCATTCAGTACCAGATGCTTTCGATATCTTGAATGTGAATGGCCAGCCTAATGGAAAGTTCGTATTTTGTTTCAAGTCTTAAAAAAACTGTTGTCAATGAAGTTATATGGATGCGGTGCTGTTTTAGGCGATCTAATATTATGATTTTTTTGCGATTTCAACTCTGAACATCCTGAATTTGAAGTAGTCAGACCTCTGTTCACGACCTTTTGTCCAAGTGCTCCGAGATGCTGCTTCTGGTTTCAAAGTAATATTTGAGAGGAACTAATTGAAATAATGACTAAATCATTTCCTCTTGTAGCGTCTTTGTCATTGAGGTCCAATTGAGCATGTTGGTATGGGGTTTGGTAGGGTCGAACGATAAAGTTACTTCAAGTTTCTCATGATTCGACTGTCTGGACTAGCAATGCACATGGATATACAAAGTAATGCATCAAGAATAGAGAGAGATAGATATAAATTGATCGAGAGGGGGTGGCTACCTCCATCGGCGGCGGGGTCTTGCTTGCGCTTCCTCTTCTTGCCGCGAGTTGCGTTTGCCCGGGATGACCAGTCGGGATAGAGTTGCATGTGTAGTTGCCGTTCTCGGCGAGCCAGCTCATAGTACTTAGCCTGCTCCTCTCGCCCCAATGCGTGCCACTAAACAGACAACAGTGATGGTAGACGACTTGCACTACGTTTACTTGACAGCGCTACTGGCGTACGCGTGTGCGCGCTCTCGGTTTAGTCGCGAGGATTTGCGCAGGCCACGCATTGACGATTTGTTTTGACGGGTTACACGATTATTTTAGTCCTATTTTGTAGTAGGAGTATACGAATTTGAGTCTAGATATGCAGTGAATATACTCCAGGAATTCTTCAAGAACTTGAGCGCCTTTTCTCTACATATACAGGATGTGGTATAATGAGCAGATAAAATTTTATTTGCGAGTAAGGGACTCCACCACTGTTTAAAAAATATATGTGTAATAAAATGATAAAAGTTGCTTGGTTTCATAGTTACACTCACTCTTCAAACTGACAAACTACTGTATATACCAAAATCAAATATAAATTTCGAATCTAAGAATCTTGTTGTTTCAAGATGCATCGCTACTTTCACTTTTTTCATTTTTTTAGTTATGCTCTTTGTGCTTGATTCAAATTCGATATAAGAAGTTTTTTAGCATCTATCTAGTAGAACGTTTGATTGGGAAAGTCTAAGGCATATACCAAATATTCATAAATCATATCGGCGTTAAAAATCCATATAATTTGAAATACGCAACTTTTACCAAGATATATTTATATTTTCGGCAGGTAAAGGTTGTCTACTCATTACGCTACACCTTGAAGTTGTATGTTCAATAGTTTTTTCAATATTTAGTTTAATAATACTTATCTTTCAAGAGGAAGGTATGTAACATCAACATACCCTCCTTCCTGAAGACATAAACATCGGAGTTACGATACAAAATCATGGAGTAGTAATAAATGTGTACTAGGAAAGCGTTAAACTAATTTGCATATTGAATTTGCAACTTGTCTTCCTCATTCACTATAAATGACTGGACGATATCTAGACACAAATGCAGTGTTACAAAGAATCTAGAAACATACATATCTCTTATTTTTTTAACAAAAGCATCTAGATACTTATACTTTGTAATTAGTTGAATATATTATACTTCAAGAGACAAAATCATAAAACTAGTGAAATTCAAATGTGAAATTGTCATAAGTGATCGATATGGCGATTGAACAAGCACCTCATTGAAAACATTTATTTGAGTTTTTTATTTGGCTCGAAAACGCTTTTTGTATTATTACAAGAAACTGAATTGAAACCTTTAACATAGGATCTAACATTTTTAGGGTCATTTACAGAAATCGATCACAGCAAAAGTGCAGTTGTCGCAAAGAGATTCTTTCTGAAACATGAAAATGACATCAATATGATCTAATAAATTTTCATTTTTTCCTATATTGCCAAAATAATGTGTTCTCTTTGCGACAAATACTGCTTACATATATCATGCGCAGCGTATATCTTCTACCATCACTGACATTTGACAATGACTGTATAGCCGGCAGGGCACCAAGAAGCGTGCGCAAGAGTTACAGTGCCGCCGGTCACCCCATATCTAGCCTCCCTTGATTTTTTTTTGTTTGTTTTCATTTGGTTTGCTATAGCAGCCACTGTAGGTACCCATTCTGCCCGAAACGTCGACTCGCGCGTATGCACGTGATGTATTTTCTACCAAATACAAAATTTCCAGTAGTTTCGGTATACGGATTGGGCCGAAATCTGTCTGAGGAGATCAAATATGCAATTTGGAATGGGTTGGAAATGTAGCCTAGTTGTAAGGTTGACAAGGAAAGCTTGGTTTAACGATATGTTCACAAGAGACAAAAAAAAAACAAAAAATGCTATACAGCTTGTTGATATCACATACATTTATGGACTCAACTGAATAAATATAATGCAGAAAAGTTAATCTCTGTTGGAGTTTATTACGATTCAAAACAAGTGATTGGTGCTTTTCATACAAATTCGATCCATTTTTATAAATACTTGAGAGGTCTTTGAGAAGATGCTTTTTTATTGTGATGAAACTGAGAAGGTTTAAACACGGGAGTTTTGACAGATAGAGAATGTCCAAATATTCGGTCAAGATTTGGGTTAATAAGAAAACGCAGTTTTTCTTTAAACTTTGATTTTTTGTTAAATCATAATGTCCTCAAGATCCATGGAAGTAGCACTTCAGACAAATGGTCTCCTGGCTATGTTGGCACATACGCACTCTTTCAATTCTCCATGTTTGCTGACCATTAAATGGAACCACAAGTGTTTTGCCAGCTCGGTGGCCCTTTTTAAACTAGAGATGAAAAAACAGTGAAAATATCTTTTATATTTATCTGATAATTCGATTGTGTTTTTGCTGAACTGTTGTCGAAACTTTCTATGATCATTTTGCATAAATGTGGCTGAATTTCGTTGGATTTAGCCTTCAATGCACGAGTATCTGTGAGCTTCTTTTATCCCAAATTAGGATAATATTGATGTGGATGAGATGTGTAGTTTCAACAAAAAGGTGTTACATACCATATCAATATTACTAGATTGAATATTTCCTTAATTTGACTCCTTTTGGTCACGTAATTTCTTTATATAGGGTAATTGAAGTCAAAGGTCAATGTCAACAAGACCACAGACACTCGATTATTACAAGGCGGAAATTCAACACGACCTCAACAAAATTCGGCCACATGTATATGAAAAATTGTCATGAACAATTCAGATGAAAGAGTGTCATGTGTCAGCAAAGCCATCTTGCCTATTCCATGAATAAACTTATCCTGGGTACTTTATGTTTCAATAAAATATAACAATCTAAGGAAAAAAAGTGTTTTCTATATAATCCGCGAATTTTGGAACAACCTTCAGGGCATCAAAATAATACATATGTGAAAATATTTGAAACCTTTATAAAACAAGGAACCTCAGCTATATTATTGACTTTTTCCGAAATATGCATTCATCTTTCCGTCTAAGTCGTCAATGTCAACCCTGATTTCCAATAAATGCTTTAAAACGTTAATTTTGCATATACTAGGAGCTTCCATATGCCTAAACAGAATGCTTCCATACGGATAGATAACTATATCTTCCTTTTCCCTAACGATCTTATTAGATCGACCATATTCGTATTCAGCTCAGAAATTTGTGATGTTGGTTAGTTATTGTGGATGATGGCTACATACATAAATTCAACTCCACATGGATTTGCATTGATGAATATGCAAGGCAAACTGGCATGCATCATGTATGCCCCCGCAAATGTTAGATCGGTTAAGACAAAGGAGTTCCAAGCGTACCGGTGACGTAACAATGTATATGCACACGGCATCTCTCAAACAGATTTCAGCCCAATCATATTTCTGATTACCATTGTTAATAACTGCTTTTTTAGTTTAGTTGGCTCTATTAGTTGTTAGAGACGAGTGCAATATTGTGTTAGTCCCTCTCACGAACTGTCATGTGCATCAAATTTGGATCAATTCTTCAGAACATATTACAATCTACTGACAATACTTGCTTGCACTGTAAAACATACAACATACAATACACTAAATGCGTGTTATGCTATCCAGGTTTCAAATAGTCATATATTTGTTTTGTTGCTATTCTCATAAGGACTTTTCTCCAAAACTTACTTAGGTACTTTATAATTTATAAACATAATAAAAATGATTATAAAAATTTCCGAATTACAGATTTTGATACGAAGTATTACGTCAGAAACACACTTACACTCCGTATAGCTTTTTTGAGAGTTTATTTTTGTTTTTTGTTTTGAAAAGCAGATCCAAATCTATGCACATGACAGTTCTGAGCGTGAAAACATTAACGCTTTTACTTAGTATTTTGGTCCATGGCAGAGCAAAGATTCTCATAATCTTCAAAAATACGATATTCTCGGATAAGGAATCTGAATTTTGGTCCTGATTTTCATAAGATTTTTGTGATTGATTTTTTCAAACGGCTTTGCTCTATGGACCAAAAGACATTTTGAGATATTCTAATTGCTGTCACCAGGGTGAGTAAACGGCACAACAAATTTTAGTCATTACGAGCCAATCTCAAAATGGTTGTTAAATCGCACGATCAAACCTAGTCCAGTGCTGCGTTATCAGATTTAAGAACTTAAATTTTAAAGTTTAAGTATCAATACTTGGTAGCAGAAAATAATTTCAACTTCTATTTAAATACTACAAGCAGGGTTTTAAAATTATGAGTTATATGGATAGAATGAGTTATGAACTTGAAAAAATGACATAAAACATTACAGAATATTATCTTGCACCAGTGCCTATACAGGGTGTTCTGAAAGTTGGGACTTTTCACGAACAACTACGTTTGGTATAACAGCTAGTGTGGGTAAAATAAGTCAAAATATAAGAGAAGTACTCAAAGTTAGAAAGTTACCACCCCGCTACATACTGCTTGCAAATAATGTCGAAATCAATCACTGTGCCCACCTCGATGCTCATAGAAATGGGCTTTGATAAGCCTGGAAAAAAATAACGCGGTGCAGGGTGAAAACGTCCAAGAAAATAATCTAAATACACTCGCAAAGCATTTGCAGCATCTTGAAGACACTAATAGTAAATTAACATCAAATCGACAAGTTTGCTATTGCTACATATAAGTTTTTGAAATTCGATTTATAAACAAGTACCTCGGTTTCTCTTCACGGTGTGTGGCGCTTTTTCCCTAATCTTTTGCTGGAAACAGATCCGGATTTGATAATCTAGATTTTTTCGGTGTCTATAGCTCAGAAGGCTGAGTTACGAGGAAAAATGTTTATTTTTACAAGAACTATACAGTAATGGACAAAAGTATATAGACCAATATGAATATTTACCTAAATACCTTTAGAAAACGAATTCATACTTCATTGCTCCTTAAACAAATGCGTTATTAGTAGACAAACTAAATGCCTTGTTTTTACATTATCTGCAATGAACACAATACAAGTCTGAATATAAGCACTTTTTTATGAGTGACAAAAATATGTAGACAAATTATTTTCAACATTAGTAGAGAGGATTAGTTTGTATTCATCAAGTACTGTGGAATAAGTTGAGTGATTTTAAGACCATGCCGCGTGGCCCAGAAATTTCTTTCTTCTTTCTTTCGAACTAAGATCATTGAGTTCTACAAAGATGGTCAACGTCAAGTCGACATTGCCTAAAATTTGAAGCTGAAGTGTAAAGCAGTTTGGGCAATATTGAACAAATATAAACAAAAAGGTATCTTGGAAGACTCTAAGAGAAGTGGTCGGCCTAGAAAACTAAATGCTAGATCAGTTAGATTAATAAAAGTAATTTCATCCAAAGATCCATTTAAAACCCCAAGACAAATAAAAGTCGAAATCGAGACAAAAGGAATTGTGTGTTTCTACGAAAACTATAAGTAGAAGATTAAATGATTTGGAGTTATTTGCACGTCGCCCGAGTAAGAAGTCGCTAATCTCGAGGAAAAACCGTAAGGACCGATTACAATTTGTACTGTTGCATCTTGATTGGAGCATCTGTGACTGGAAGAGGGTATGTTTCAGTGACGAATCCAAGTTGAATATGTTTGGATCAGATGGTGTTCATTACGTTAGACGTCCTAGTGGACAAAGATTGAACCCCAAGTACACTTTGCCCACTGTCAAACATGGAGGCGGGTGTGTTATGGTTTGGGGGTGCTTTTCGGGGTTCGGGATGGGACCTTTACATAGAATAGATGGCATTATGGATAAGTTTGTATACACAGACATACTAAAGCATGTCATGTTACCCTATATGGAAGACAATATGCCCTTAAGATCAATCTTCCAGCAAGATAATGACCCGACGCACACTACAAATCTCGCAAAGAAATTCATTCTGGATGAAAAAATACCAGTTCTCAAACGGCCTTCACAGTGTCCCGATATAAACCCCATTGAAAATCTATGGGAATACTTAGATACGAGATAAACATTTTTTAAACAAGGATGAACTTTTTGCCGCTTTAGAGCAAAAATGGAGACAGATTGATGAATCTTATATCAAGAAACTTCTACAATCTATGCGGAAACGATGCCAGGCGGTGATTGATAATAATGGTTATGCTACAAAATATTAACACAAACATGGTTGATTTTCTATAATTCAATGAACTTTGCTTCTTTTTTCTATAATTGTTTTGCTTTGTCTATATATTTTTGTCCTTCATAGTTCCCGTTTTTTTCAATTAATTTTTTATTGTAATGAATTTATTTATGTATAAGTGAGTATTATGCTATAACGAATTATGTATACAGGATGGTGTATTAATAAAACAAGTTAAAAAAGAAATACAGCACAATATTAATTTGTCTATATACTTTTGTCCATTACTGTACGTTGTGTTAAGGGGAGTCCCAACTTCACAAACACCTTGAATAGATGCAGGATTTTATGATTTTCTTAACCTTTGGGTGCTTTGTGTCATCTATATTACGCAAATGGGTTCAAAATTAATGGAACAAATAATTGTAATTTTCAAGTTATAATTAAAGCTTCTATTTGGGGACGTAAATGACCTATATGGTTGACAGAGAATTATTAACTTTTACATCTGACAAAGTAAGATATTTCAATAGGCAATAATGGTCCTCCTCGCATTGATCAATTACAGCAGACTGGACTAGAACATTGTAACAGTTAGAGACGATGTGTGTGAGACACAACAGATGAAGAGCATATAGGACAATCATCATCATAATTATCATTAAAGAGATAGACGAGACTGTATAGGTGATTTGATAGTATGTGTGAGTAGACTGTGTGTACCTCCCGACTCGATCGGAGTTCGTTCTTTCTTTCGCTTCTTCTTCTTGGTGCCATAACCGTAATTGTCACGGGCGCTCCAGCCCGGGTACAGCTGCATGTGCAGTTGCCTTTCCTGGCGCGCCTTCTCGTAATACTTGGCCTGCTCCTCGCGACTCAAAGAGTGCCACTAACGCCATACACCATATCATTTTTATATTATGTTATGCACATATTACAAACATAGTTTTATTCCATTCACGTAAATAAACTCTTTCGAACTTCAATCATTCCCGTGTGATGGTACCATTACTATTGGTGTCCTCTCAACTAAAAAACGCCATGCTATATGATTCATGTTTTATCTTCATCACATTCGCTCAACACGCCTCACCATACAACATTCATTCTCATGTGATGTTTACCATGATTCTACTCAAACCGTGTCACTACGATATATCATATCATTTGCATGCCGTCATCGGTATTTCCTAAATATAGACAAATCTAGGACTATTTTGTGCATTCGAGAAACAACAAAAATCACTGAAGATATTGAAGGTGCAGGGCGAGATTTTACTAAATTAATAGAGTTCATTAGCAAAGATCTCTTGTAAAGCTTCTGTGCCTCGGAAAAATTCAAATAACTTGGTAACAATATTTTCGTCATCGATAACCGAACTCCAAAACAGCTACTTATTAAGTCACATTTAGTAACTAAACCAGAACAGCCTACTCGATTTTCCGCTAAGAGTCATAAGTACATGAGTTTCAACTTTAGTGTAATACCGGACAATTGCTATGAGTAGAAGTCAATACTTTGAAACAAGGGAGTAGAATAACTAATAGAAAATGGGCGTGATTCTATCACTTCTTGAGGAACTGTATTCTGTTGACTTTCCTTGATAGAAAACTCGCCTCCCAAGTCGTTCTCCGATAAATAGCAAGAAAAAAGGATGCTCACCTTAATCCATTAGTTACACTTGACATGAAAAACTTAGGGACATACCTAATGGATGCATTCACAAATCAATTTGATAATCGTCGAACGCTGTCAGAAAGAGTCCTTAAGCCTAATAGAGCTACACCCACTTTCTATCGGTTATTTTACTCTCGTGCTTCCAGGAATTAGCTTACAGGAGGTGGTCATTTTGAACAGTTTTTTTGAAACCTGTTTTTTTCTTTAAAGTCTTGCTTCCCTTCTTTTTTCCAAATGTCACGAAAACTCAAATCGGCTTTAGAGAGGTTTAAAAGATGGAATTTTTTCCTTCAATTTCCACCCCGTATCTTGAAAACACCATGTACGTCCCAAGAGAATAAAATAATAGGGTGGGTGGATCATGGACGACTAGTTATTAAAAAGCTCGAAGTTATTGCCATGCGATGACAAAATCCTTTTATAGTTGCAGTCACCGTTCTTGGCGGTTACGTCATCAATGCCATATGAAATAAGTAAACAGATCGAGTCTCCGTACCATGGGCGGAACACTGCGCAGACTAATCCTCAGCGAATCTGCTACTCGTTCCAGTACGTATTTTATTCTATCGAATGAAAACATTTCCTGCCATGTCTATTCTTCTTGGCCATTTTTTATGCGTATGTCCTTTCGCAAGTAAGACTTGAGATATAATCTATCTAGCATAGCCATGTCCATTCCATGAACATTTTAGCTTAATTGCAAAACACCGCCATGCCAAGTTCACCGTCTGAGTAATGGCCTAGGTACCCGGCATAGTATGGAGAGATATCATCAAACGAGGTCAAAAAATGTCGGGAATGTAGCCTATGCCACAGGTGACTCATAAACGTTTAAGGTATCTTTGCATGTAACACAGAAGGAAGCATGATATTTTTTGGATATTTTCACGAGGCCACTTAGATTCGTTGAGATTCCTTACGGAAGATGGATCTCTGATGTGCATGATGTGATTTTGTCGTTTATAACTTTATTTCATATTCAAGTTTTTGATCAACAGCTTCTCATCTTATTATTCGTATCTATGGTAACAATGATAACGGAAATGGCGTGCATACGTGATTTGTATAAGCCTCACTTTATTATAGATCTTAACTTTCACAAATATCATCTTCAAGTTTCAAGTATTTATATTCAGTGATCGTGATATCATATGATATATTCAACGTTTAATTCAAGGATACATACATACCTTTCACATCTAAAATGAATTGCAATTGTGAATAATTGTTTATTGCGTTTATAGATTCATTGTTTTGCTCATTCATTCTAGGCTAATATTCAGACTACCGATGCTATTGAACGTAAATACTAAATACGTAGGCTTTTTGCATTTTAATAGAAGGTTCCCTTCAATCATGAAGTCTATTTTGGATTGTCTTCTGAATACTGCCCTTCTTCTCACTCACACCTGTCATGATTGGAGTCGTGCCATCTGAACACAAATTTTTATAAATCAAATGTGCATGTGAAGCATTTCTAGGTTTATGCTATACTATAGAACAAATAATATTATAGTCACTGTGATTGTGACGTAATATCATAAAAATAGATTATTTCTCGAAGGCTATTAGAATGAGGTATGTACTATGTTTTTGGTAGTTTAACAGTCTGATGTTATTGAATATGCTGAAATGCTCCACATAATACATTATAATTCATGAAAAATTGTGAGGTATCACATTTTCAGTCAAAACGATACATCCCTTTCGCCATCGTATAAGAAGATTTCCGATTCAACATAGTATAAAATATCTTACCCGCCTGCCCAGTATCTGGTTGATAGCAGCACTCTCCTTCAACGTACATTCCGCCACAACTTTCGCCCTCATTTCTTTCATGTACAACATGAATGCGTTCAAGGGCTTCTTGATATGCGGCTTTTTCTTCTCGTTGCTCTCCTGAGAATTCTTTCCACCTCCACCGTCCAGGTTGTTTTTACTATCCAGCTGCGACCTGGAAAAGTAAAGCCTGCGTTTCAGTGAAGAGGTTTCAGTCTGGAATTGTTATGGTATGATGATATCTATACTTTTAATATTTGTGGCGTAAACGGAAACATTATGACCTTTCATCCACTGGGATAGTTTATTTTTTTTTTAATTGTAGTGATAAGCCATAGTAAGGAAGAAATATAGGGAGATCAAAGGTTCAGAGGCATTTTTTCATACACCAACTACCACGAAGGCCTAAGGCCTAAACACCCATGGGGTACCGTCGGGCTATAGGGGGGATATAGAGGAAAGGGGGGCGCCGCACGGACTGTGGCGAGGGGACACGTGTACATACAACATGCACACATTCTGGCCCCGGCTACGAGATCCGCCGGGTGGTACCTCCGCGTTCGACAGTCAGAGACCGTCTACCAACTACGGACAATCACAACATCCATAGCCAAGAGAAGCATTTCTCTTGAGATGGGATTCGAACCCGCGCAGCGCACGGCGACTGATCAGGAGACCGAAGAGTCTACCACTGCGGCCACCGCTGCTGCCTTGAACGACATCCGAGGCAATTCAAGGAAATCCTAGGCAATTCAGAGAGATCAGAGGCTATTTAAGGAGATACGAGGCAATTCAAGGAGATACGAGGCAAGTCAAGGATTTTGGAGGCATTTCAAAAAGATCCGAGACAAGTCAACGGATACCGAGGCTATTCAGGGAGATCCGCGGCAATTAAATGATCTCCGAGGCTATTTAAGGAATTTCGAGGCTGTTCAAGGATTTTAGAGGCTGCTAAAGGAGACTCGGGGCTTTTAAAAACACTTGCTCCGTAGACCCCCCAAAAACATATAGAAACTAGACGACACCACGTTAGGAGATAAAGAAGGGATAAAGCTTGATATAAGCACAGTTGGATTATAGACGATCAGTATTCACTGCTATCGGTACCGGTATTTATTGATCATTCAGTCAGTGTCAGTGAATTCCTACGTAACCTTATACATAATTATTACTGACATTTTGGCTGCACAGTCATTAAATATCACTTTCTATGATAAGTACTGTCTGATCACACTAAATACTGATCGTGAGACATTTGTTTTGAAGTTTAATGAATCTTCAAAACCATTATTTACTCAAATCACAGCTTATTGTGAACTTGTATTTGTAGTAATCAGGGTTTTGAGAAAATGTTTTGCATGATAGTTTACTACTTACTATACAAGTAGAAATTAAAAAACGCAACACCCTACTAGAATCCCAGGGTATATGCTGAGACTGCTATAAAGCATGAAATAACGTTGCATACGGTTGGATTTGGTCATATGGACGGAAAACAATTAAACTGATACTATTCGTCCGAGCTCTTTTATTGTCGGAATTACGAGTACATCCAAAACTGCTAAATGTTGCTGCATCGAGATCTTGATCGATAACCCTAGTTAACCCTAAGTTAGAAATTGCATGAATCCTTGTTGATCTTTTATCGTTAATACAGTAGCCTTTCATCGTAGCTAAAAGCACCGTAAAATAAAACAAAAAACGAAATCAACATTGGGTCAACCATTTGGAAGCTTCACACATATCACATATTACTTATAACACCTATCTTTTGTCGTCAGGGGTTGAGAAAAGATTATATATATATATATATATATATATATATATATATATATATATAGGTGAAAAATTAAAGCTTCCGCCTTTTGTTGGGTACTTCGACAAAATTTAAGCAATTTATACTTTTTTTAATTCTCTCTAGCTTTCAATGGACTTTTCCATCATCATCAGGAGAGTAGTATGTGAGCTAATTGTTGTATTCGTATAGGATGAGGGAAACGTCCAGTAACATGGTGAGAGCTGGATACATGGTACAATGGTTAAAATTATATAAAATATGACAAGTTAAAGACAGATTAAAAATTATTTACTACTCTCCTGATGATGATGGCAAAGTCCATTGAAAGCTAGAGAGAATTAAAAAAAGTATAAAGAGTCCTCTTTGCTTAAATTTTGTCGAAGTACCAAACAAAAGGCGGAAGCATTAATTTTTCACCTAACTGGTCTAGACGACAATGACCACGTCTCAAGTTATATATATATATATATAGTGACAAGAGGCATAGTTCTGTTGGTCTCATTCCTCGTCTCACTGTATTTTCTTATTTTGGCGTTGAAAATCAACAGGTTCACTCTAACAATGGATAGTCTTCAACACTGGAGCACCATCATGATGTTATTGATACAATTAACACGGCTAACGTGTAGGCAATAGATTCTGTTTAGAGAAGAATATTTATAATCTATTTCTATAATAAAAGACAACATTCAATACAGATGCCTGGATCCAGATTCATATATCTCTATGATTGTTAATATCACACAGTCACAGGCTACTGTACAACAAAGCAATAAACAAAGATGCCAAAGCTAGTGGGATACTCTGTATCTCTCTCACCCTTTGATATCTGCTTTGTCTTTGTCAGTCTGCATTTCATTTCTGATGAGCGCATCAAATCCTGTTGGAAATTCGTAAGTCACGTGGGGCTTTTTGTCCAAAAGATTGTTCAGAATTTTATTACTCCTTCGACTAGTGTCAGGCTTCTCGAACTGTTGGGGGTTTATATACTGTTGATTGAATATCGTGTTCATATACCACATGGACAGCAGTTTATTGTCTAAAAAGGCGTTGTGTTCCTTGTTGATGTTGCTATTTGTTTCATTGTATGTGTTTTTCTCATAAAAACTGCCAGGGTTCTTGCACAGGTATTTTCTCAATTGTTCGGTCCCGTTTAGGTTGTTCTTAGTTAGGTCCAATCCTTGATCTGCAGGCTTCTTTATAGACAGGTCCTCAGGGAGATCTTCGATTTTAATAACATTATCATCTTTATTATTGTTGTTATTTTGGACGGTAACGCAGTCAACATTTCGAGAAAACGGCGCGACTATAGCGATAGGCATTTTTTTTGCGGTTAGATTCAGCGGTTCCTCGCTGGCATCCATCTCGATTGACGCGAAAAGGGATCAACAAGTTTTTTATGTGTCGCCGTCGTTCATCACGGGGAAAATCAATATGAATGGCCGCGCCGTCCTTTGTCTCTCGCGAGCACGTGTTGGATCCCGAACTGAGGACTGAGACATCGCCGGGACACCATCGGGACACAGGACACCTGGACACAGGAGTACCGGGACACGACGGACGCGACGATACGCCCGGTTGGAAAGTGTGTAAGACCAAATAGGCCGGCCAGTAGATAGTGTTGTTACTTGTTAGATAAAGAGAGGCAGACGGGACGCCACGCGCGGCTACAGCCTGCCGGGGTGCAATAGATCAGGAAAACGGGGTCGGAATATGCGACTACGGGCCGTTAAGGGGGTTGCGGAGGAGGAAGGGCGAGAGAGACGCGCCGCGGGACAGGGGTGGCATCCGAAATGGAAGTTAGAAGTATTGGTGCAATTCGCTGTTGAGGTTCCACTAGAAACGGTTTCAGAGTCATTATTGTCTACAAGGGTCCAACAAGAGACGTTGCTGCTCATTCCGTGTGTTACACAAGTATGGATTTTAGGGCCGCACGATTTATTGTTTACGAGTGTCAAAAGTACGCTAAAATCATAATGCTTGTAGCCACTACAATGGGAATTGTGGAGTGTTCCACAGGGGTTGCTTTATAGTGGGTGAAGTAGAATACGGTCATGGTGTAGATTAATTTGTAATAGCGACTGAGACTTAAAGTCATATTGTTGAGAGCCATTGTTGAAGAATTCTTCCGTATCTGAAATCTCGACCAAATTCCATTTTTCGGATAAATCGGGTTCGTAAATGACGAATCTGATGTAACTTTTTTATAAGATCGATAGGAGGCCCAGAAGTTTCATTTTGTCACTACAAATAGGAATTTACAACATTATTGATAACCATAGTAGAAACTATTATAGTCAAGTCAAATGTTTGGGAAGCATTACAATTCAACTGCACCAGAGTGTTGCACCCCTAAGCAGCAATAATTTCCAGATCTCTCGTTAGAGAGAAAATCGCTACAAGTTTTCTGTCCAGCTCATTGGCAGAGATTGACTTGACACTCTGAATGCCTGCGTTTAATGTGCTGTCATCACCAAAGCTAAAGATCGGATTGATCGTAAAGGAATATAATATGTAATTATAATATGTAACAGAAACAGTGTTGAAACCAAGATGTATCCTGGGGAACAGCTGCGTTGATATCGTGGGATGAAGATGTGAACCTGTCAATAACGATGGAGTTTGCAGAGCCACAGCCAACCGTAAGCTTTCATGACATTAAGAGCAACGTCATGAGTCTCAGACTAAGTATTTTTACTCCACAGTTGTGTGTTGTGTTTTCGAGGATAATGCGCGTAGTGCATGCCAGTGTTGACATCTACTCTATGGACGTTAGTTTCCTCTTCAAACGCATTTCTTTGTTATTGTATTAATGACCAAATGGCGGATGCCGGTTCTGTACGGAGGGAACGCAGTTGCGCTATATACGAGCGCTTTGAATATTTGTTTGCCGGTAAATGTTTTCCTGGGAAATGGGAAGTCGCAGGTTGAGGATTCCGAGAGATGAGATACTGAGTCTACAGAGCATTACTTCATACGCTAGAGGATTATTTGAGGTGACTGATACTCTAGTTAATCGAGATTTGAGGGAATGGCAGCTTGAGTTATTCATGAACATTTCATGCGGCATTCAGTGGGAAGATAAAGGTTTTAAATAACTATATCTGGAGAATCTGTTATAAATTGAGCACAACAATACTTCAGCATCAAATGAATTTCTAGCTATTTGCTTCGACTTATCGGTATTGAGATTATTGATGACGTCCACGCAGTTGGTTGGAAGAAGCTGAAGTGTTCGATTATAGCGATGAAGAACTTTTCACTCTTTAATTTCGTGATTGTATATGACCCTAATAAGTACTGTTCACAAGATTTGATGACACTTCCTTGACAGATAAGCCTGGAGCGTATAAGTACACATGACTTTGTACCCTGCT